CGAGTCGGACTACGAGCAGTCCCATCTCGTGCACCACACGCCGCGCGCCGCCAACAAGCGCGGGCGTGCCACGCGCGCCTCGGGCGGGCACGCACGCATCGCGTCAGGGCAGCAGTCGCCCACAGGCGCGACCGCCGACGTCGCACGCGCGGCGCAGGCCTCGTCGTCGTCGTCCAACTCATCCGCAATCCGGTGCGACTACGTGTCGCCAATCACCGGACAGCGCTGTGGCACTGTGTTCCACCGCATGTACGACCTGGCGCGCCATCGCATCACGCTGCACCTGCGCGAAGAGGCGCAGCTCGTCAAGGAGGGCAAGCTCAAAGTGGAGCAGTGCGTCGTCCTGGGCAAGGAGGTCGACGTCAAAAAGGCGCTCGCCGAGCTCGAATGGATCTGCCGCGTGTGTGGCGCAAGTTTCTCACGCAAAGACGCCATGCTCCGACACGAGCGGTTGCGGCACCATCGCTAGGTAGACCCGGCCGCGCGCAGGAGGGCGCGCGTCTCATAGTGTGGAGGTTTTACTACGCGTCGCGATGGACGCGCTGCTGGACCAGGTGAGCGACCCGAGCGACTGGCCCGATGCATGGGCCACGCTCCGGCCGCTCGACGCGAGCTTGCGCTGTGGACTGTGCTATGTATGTGTGGTGCTTATTCAGGACATTTTCCGCGCGCCCGTCGCCCTGCGCGAGTGTGGGCACGTTTTCTGCTCGTCGTGCATCCGCACGCACATCAACCAGCCGGGCGGCTCGGGGTCGTTCTGCCCGAACTGCCGCCAAAAGAAGGCATACGACAGCGAGCTGATGCCACAGCCGGCGCTGGAAGCGGCCGCAACGAGCTGGCGCACCGCTCGGTACGTCGCCGTCTAACGCAGCGCCGACCTGGTCACCAAACAAAAGCGGCTCGACACGCTCGAGCGCACGCGCACAGCTACCGCACACGAGATACCCCAGCTCAGCACCGGCTCGGAGAAACGCGCTGCAGAGCCAGAGCACGGCCGCCGCCTGCGCCCGCGCAAGGAGGAACCCGTGGATTACCGCAGTTTGCAGGGTACGTCGTGCGCATCTAACCCAGCCGACGATACCGTCCAGTGCCCGATTTGCGCACGAAGCTTTACGGCGGCCGACCTCAATACGCACCTCGATATGGGGTGCAACCCGTCCTCAGCATCTCCGTCGCCGGCGCCGGACCCTTTTGTACATGCCAAGCGGCTCACACGGCCTCAGTACCAGCTCAAATCCGAAAGGGATCTACGAAAGATGCTCGGCGTACGTCACTACCCTAACGCAGTCGCTCGGCCTGCCCACGCAAGGGCCCAAGGACCGCCTAATCGAGCGGCACCGGCAGTGGGTCAACGTGTATAACGCCAACCTCGATGCCGCGCCCGCGAATCGCGAGTCGCTCGAGCGTCTGCGACGGAACCTGATTGCATGGGACAAGAACCAAGACGAGGCCAGCGCCCATGCCAAAGACAAGGTGGCCACTGAAAAACAGTACCGGTCGTGGCTTGTACGTCGCCGTACTCACACAGCATACCCATCGCAGCCAGTATGCTGATCTGGCAGCCAAAGCCCGTGCATCTCTTGCCCCGGCCCCCAAGGCGGACGCGCCCTCGGACGACCCTGACAAATCCCCTTCCACAGAATCGAGATAGGCTCCGAAGCTTGGCCAGGCGTCTTAGTGGAGGTCGTGTCCTGCATCTCTTGGCAACACGCCGCTTGGTCTGGACGGTCGGCGAGCGAACGCGCGAGGGGTGGCCATGCCCGACGACGTCGACGCAGAGAAGTGCTCGCCGGCGCCGTCGTCAGGCGGCCCAGATGATGCAGCTCCCAAGGCGGTTCTGCTGGAGCCGGGGCAAGACGCACAGCAGTGGCCTTTATATCGGAAGGTGTACACCAACGCAGTGCTCCTGTACGTCACCCTGGTAAACACCTATGCATCGGGTGTCTATTCCCCGGGAATCAAGGCAATGCTCATTGATATCCCCATGTCCACCGAGGTCGCGCAGCTTGGCACCAGCTTATACATGTTTGGACTCGCGGTAGGCTCCCTGTTTTGGGCGCCACTCAGCCAGTCGCTGGGCCGACGACCCGTGTTCCTCGCGTCGCTCACAGGAGTGACGCTGTTCAATTTGGGCGTGTGCCTCTCCTCTCACATTCACTCTCTAATGATCTGCCGCACACTCGCGGGTTTCGCCGCCTCGGCCGCCTTTCCCAACGTCGCTGGCAGCATCGTGGATATGACCACCGAGCGCAATCGCATCCCGTACAACACCATGTTTCGCTACATCACGTTCACGGGGCCCACGCTGTCTGCTTTCCTAGGTGCAGTTGCCGTGCGGGACTCAGATTGGCGATGGAATCTGCGATCGATTCCGATCATGGCGTTTGTGGGGCTGGTCGTGTATACATTCACGGTCCCAGAAACGTTTGCACCAGCATTACAGCAGCGTAACGAACGCATCCGTGAAGCAGAGCAAAGACACGAAGATCTGCTCCATCGCAGTGAGCATTGGCTGGCGCGCTTCTTGCCCCGACATAACGCACTTCACCTGGTTGCTGCGCAAGTCAAGCAGTCTATGTATGTGCCGTGGATCTTGCTGGCCGAAGAACCCTTGGTCATGATTGTGTGCTTCTATACATCGATGCTGTACGGTCTCCTGTATGGCTCTCTCCTCTTCTTTCCTGAAGTGTGGCACGATATTCGTGGTTTGACCGCCGTCCAAGTGGGATACACTTACGTGGCGGTGCTCATTGGCTTTATCGTATCTGCATTGCTGGTCGGGTGCATCATCCAGAACTGGGAGTATGGGCGCGCATATGACCGGGGCACCAACACACCCGAGCTTCGCCTGCGCTCTGGAGAGTGGTCCATCTTGTTTGTCCCGATCGGCCTGTTCATCTTTGCATGGACGGCCCCCTTTCCTCATGTCCACTGGTCGGGGCCGAGTATCGGTGCCTTCCTTTTTGCATTTGGCATGTTGGCCGTATTCAACTCCTGGCTCGCCTACCTCACCGATACCTACAGCAACAATACGGCCGCCGTGGTGGGACTCAACACCTTTTGCCGCTCGGCGATCGCAGGCACGTTTCCCCTGTTCACACGGCAAATGATCAATGCCATGACATTCCAAGGCGCCATGTCCATGTTTGCCGGGATTTCAATTCCGCTGACGTGCATTGGGTTTCTGTTTGGCATTTATGGACATCGCCTGCGGAATCACAGCAAGCACGCCGTCCACAAATAGGGGACCCATGCCGACATTCAGAATTTCCCTGTGTAAATAATAAGGCAGACGTACCCCGAAGCAAATTCTTGATCATCTCGCGCGCTGTAATGTATGCCGTGTTGAAAAAGGTCGGGAAGTCGAGCGTAGACGAAATGGTGTCCGCGAAACCGAAGGGAAGCATGGGAGGGATCCAGCCTGGGGGTTAGCATTCGACCTACCTTGCGCAAGCTCCAAAGCCCAGCAACCCGTCTCGGGCATCATGTACTGCTTCACCAGGCCGCGCGGGAGGTAATGCATTGCACCAGCGGGGTACCGCTCGGGGTGCAGGTCCCCAGCACGGAATGCCTGCTGCTCTCCGTAAAGAATGTGGAAGTAGTCGTCCGCGGTGTGACGACCAGTGTGCCCCTCGGTGCCAATGGGCGTACCAAAGAAGATTAGGTACTCTGTGATGGACGCATGGATGATGTACATGGAGCCCATCGCACCACCGGCGTTGTTGAACACCCATTCGGAGTGGTCGCGGAACGAATTGGGGTTCAGCGTGGGCCCGACCTTCGGGTCCTTGCGCAGCTCCGTGACGATGTGCTCAAAGATCCCGTCGGTGTTGTTGCCGTGCTTGGCGATAGCCTCCTTGGCAATCGCATGCAGCTTAGGCTGGTCAAAGATGTAGAAGGAACGCTGAGTTAGAGTGAAGACGTACAATGTGCGCATCGACGTAGGTGAAAATGGCCACAGCTACCGCCAGGATGGTCGCAATGATTGCAATGCAGCGCGTCCATGAGCCAGAAGGCTTGGAGGCCTGCACCTTTTTAACACGAGGCATGGTGATCTTCGTGTGGGAAGAAGGCCAAAATCAGCTGAGCACGCCTAGATTAAATTTCGCGCATTAGAACTATTTCTCCACGTTCCTGCTTGGCACCAGTGCCGCCGCCATGTGAGGTCCTATGCACAACCGTAGATATAATACATGATTTAGGGAGCTTAATCGGCAGCTGCCCATAGCTTCTCAGCTAAGTCAAACGCAGTCACGTTGTTTTGCTTGCGTGTCTTTTCGTCCACATCGAAAGAAGCGGCGACGTTACGGCGTGCCGATCGAACCAACAGAGATGTGATGGGACCGTCTGGATTAGCTGGGTCATGAAAAGGCACGAATCCCATGCCACGGAAAAGCTGCAGTGCAAGACTGGGTCAGTTATGGCTCTGTACGTACGCACTGCGGTCCATGCCGACTTCTTGCTCGATGTCCCAGTTTTCCACCGCATCGCTTTCTCTCCGGAGCTCTTCAATTTCTGTCTCGAGCATAGAAAGAGCCGCTTCTTGCTCGTTGATCTTCTTAGCCAAGTCAAACTTTTCGTTCTCCATCTCTTTCATCATGGTTTGGTGCGTCTCTAGCGAATGCCAGTCTGCTGCAGACCGTGTCGAGCTCTCCCGCAATTCTGCAACCGATGCCTGTAATTCTGATGTTATTATCCACACATACGGTCAAGCATCGACTGTGTCTTTGCCCGTTCGGCTTCGCGCTCCTCTTTTGTCTCCTTCATGGCGCGCGTATATTCGTGAATGCGCGCGATTTCCTCATCTGGGACCAAAACGGAATTGAGCTCCTGAATCATCTCACTGTAAAAAAGGTCAGACATGTTCCCTACGCACGGTAGACTCGCTTCCGGAATCGCGGCGCTTGACTCGCGACGCGCCATGGTGTGAGCAAGCGGAGCGGGGTGTTGGTCTCCACGCCAATTACATCACGTGACCTCTCCTTGGGAGGAAAAAAGTGTGACAAGAGTGGGATTCGAACCCACGCCCGAAGACAACGGAAGCTAGAAGCTCTTATATTAAGGAAACCTTAACGTTGCGCCTTAGACCACTCGGCCATCTTGCCTTGCAGTTGCGAATCTATGGTCAGTCCAACATACTTGAGGGAATGCTTTCCAAGTCGCGTCGTCCTATGGTCTGTGCGCGCTAGACACAAGCAAATGCGGGCCGACAGCATTACTGCGGTGCTATGGAGCTATTCAGTTGGCTTTGCCATTCCGGTTTGATCACCCATTTGGACCCCGGCTTTTTACTCTCGCGCGTCGCGCACTCCTGGAGGCGAGTCTCGATGGCCGCTTTGCTGACGCCTTTTACAATGGGTCCAAAGTGCTCACGGAGATCCTCGAGGAGCGCAGGCTTTGATCTCGTAGAGCCTTGAATCAGCTTGAGCAGCTCGGGAAGATGGGTATCGGGGAAATTGAATTTGGGCGTCCTCGTAGTTGTAGGTGCAGGCGTTGGGTTCGTCGTCGGAGTGGGCGTTGCCGACTCAGTGGGTTCTTTCGACACCGTCTTCTCCTCGGTTGATGGCGCCACTGCGATAGTCGTAGAGGTAAACGTGAAGGGATCGAGGCCCGCATAGGCGTCATTGATGAACTGGATGCGGTAGGGTATAAAACTGTCGTGGGTCGGTTCGCCGAGGGTCTGTTCCCAGTGGGGTCCTGTGATATAAGGCACGAGCTTAGAGTCAAAGCGGCGCCCCAGCAGCTTAATCTTCTTTTTCGGCTGAAGCACATTCACAGGCTTCTCCAGCTGCTTGTTCTCGGAGGTCTGATCCTGCATCTCACTTTCGGCTTCTTCAGGAGGCACCTCCTCAATTACTTCCAGGTCGTCCTCAAGCCAGTCATCCATCTCCGAATCATCATTGTCCGACCCAGCCATGCTCTCTTCATCCTCGCGATCGTCCATTGCATCGACATTCTCTCCCTCTTCCTCCTCCCATTCTGCATCAGAATCGTAGGAATAATCCAACGCGACAGGATCTTGGCCAAAAGGCTTTCGCGGCGTAATAAACGTCGAGGCCCGCGACCAAGTACCAACCCACCCCGGTCGCCGGTCCGTTTGGAAATGCAAAAGCTTGATGGGCAACAAGCGGCGGTTGTTCAGCTTCTCCAGCTCGTGCTTGGTCTGTTCTTCGGCGTTGCCTCCCAGAACATCCGACTCTTGCACGCATTTCATAATGTCCCGCACCGAAACGGGCGGATGGATGCCACGCGAGTGCACTTTGCGTTGCACTCCCGTCCGTTTGAATTGCGCGAGAAGTTCTTCCTTGGTCTGCTCGCGTGTATCCATCTTGCGCAAAAGCGTGTCATCGACGTCATGGTAGAAGGGGTTAAGGCTGGCCATATTTTTGTACTCGCAAGGCAGGAATGTGCGCTGGAAATCGTTCTTTTCCTCTTCCTCCTCCTTCTTGGGAGAGGCGCGCGTGGTTGGCTGCTGGAAGAACGAGTTGAACAGACGCACTTGCGCCTGTTTGTCCTTTTCGTTTTTCTGTTCCTTAGCCTGCCGTTCCTGTTCCTTGGCTTGTCGCTCTGCCTTTTTGGACTCACGCAGCTTGCTTCGCTCCGACTTCTCCTTCGGCACGGGCGTCACGGGCGGCGCTGGTGGTTCAGGTTCGGCTTTCGGCGCAGGTGTGGGGGGCGCAGGCGTGTCCTTGCCCTTGGCCACCTTTTTTCCTTCGAGGAGCGACTGTCGCGTGTCATCGGGGAGCGCATCGAACTGTTCCAAGGCCTGTACTTTGGCCTGACCACGTTCTTCACGGCGGGCAAGGAGCTTGGCAAGGTTCTCTTCGGGAAGCAAGCCCACGTCATTTACCTCCCAGCGCCAAAGTTGCAACGAAGGCACCATGCTCGAGTCGGGCGGTGCATCGATACCATAGTTGACGCGCTGGGCAATGGATTCGATGGTCGCCTGCAGGAGCTGTACAGGCAACACATCCACGGCCTCACCATTCTCCGACGTCTTTTCCAATGCCTTGTGTCCCTCGGGCAGGAGCGTTGCGCGAATGAGTTTGGCGAGCTCGGCTGCGCTTTTGTCACTGGGTGAGAATGGAGACGTACCTTTCTTGCGTCAGACTCGCAACCACTGGTATATGTTCTTGGGGAATGGCATCCAGCGGTGCATTTGCATGCTCGGCAAGGAATGACTGGAATCCCAGCACGGCTGTGGTCAGGCATACACGTACCGCGCAGGACCGGCATCGTACGGTCCCACCCCACGCCCTTCTGGCGGAGGTTCAGGCGCGAATTGCGAAGGGTGACGAGTGGGGGCGGCGTCCGTGCCTTCTTTGACGACTTGGGCGTCTCCTGTTGCTCGGTTGTCTTTCGCTTCCCAGTGTCGGGGCTCGGGGCCGCGTCCCCTGCGCGTTCAGCCATATCGGCTTCCGGAAAAGACGCGTCGCGCGTCAGACGCGTGGAATTAAAGATCGGCTGCCGATCGGCCACACGTTTCGTCCTCATGACGGAAGCACGCGCCGAGAACCGGCCGTGGGTCGAGCGCTAGTAGGTGTTACGGCTGACCCAGTCGACCGAAGAACATTGATGAGGTCGCATCGCAGCAGCATGCGGTGACTATCCTTCGCAATGCACTCAAAACGGCCAATGTACGTTACATGACTTACCCAGCTCCCGCACATGCTCTTCTATGGCCCGCCCGGCACAGGCAAGACGTCTACGATCCTAGCGCTGGCGCGCCAGCTGTATGGGTATGTTGTACACTCTGACACAGACCTGAGCTGATGAAATCGCGCGTCCTGGAGCTGAACGCGTCCGACGAGCGTGGCATTTCCGTGGTGCGCGACAAGATCAAGTCGTTTGCCAAGATGGCCGTCTCGGCACCGAACCCGTACGTGGTGTATTGACCGTGCAGCAACTATCCCTCGCCTCCGTACAAAATCGTGATCCTCGACGAGGCCGACAGTATGACCCAAGACGCACAAGGCGCGCTCCGTCGTATCATGGAGCAGTACAGCCGCACGACGCGTTTCTGCCTCATTTGCAACTATGTCACACGGTATGTGTGTGTCTAATACAGCATCATTGAGCCGGTTGCATCGCGTTGCAGCAAGTTTCGGTTCCGCCCATTGGACCAGGCCAGTACAGAAGAGCGCCTGCGGTTCATCGCGGCCTCTGAGGGGCTCAAGCTCAACGACGACCTAATCCCTGCACTGATCCGGGCCTCAGAAGGAGATATGCGCCGCTCCATTACTTACCTACAGTCTGTGTCTCGCCTGGCGTCGGCACGCGGCGGCGATGTGCGCGACATGACGGGGGATGCGGTTGCTGAACTTGCGGGCATCGTGCCGCAGCATGTTATTGAGACATTGGCGCGGAGCGTCGGGATCGATACAGACGAAGACAGCGGGCCGCGCGCGCACGGCTCGTCGTTTGACCGGATTTCCTCGGCGGTGCAGCACGTGGTGCGCGAAGGGTATTCGAGCACGCAAGTGGTCCTCCAGTTGCACGACTATGTGATTCTACACCCCCTTTTGAATGCACGCCAAAAAACCAAGTGCGCGCTGCAGTTTGGCGAGACGGACAAGGCGCTCATGGACGGCGGCAACGAGGCGCTCCAGCTGCTGCACCTGTGCCTCCAACTCCACCAGGCCGTAGCCGTGTAGGATTAGTCATCTTTGCTTTCTTCGACCGTCATGCCGTAGGTGGCTCGCGTGCTAACCCTAGGCTCTACGAGTTGTTCTGCGTGGCGTTTGCGTCTGCAGAGTCGGCGCCTCTGCGCGACCTGGTGCAGTCGACGTCGCGCCTGGTGCTTGACCACGGCGGTGTCGTGCGCAACGTGCAATACTGGGGCAAGCGGACCCTGCCGCAACGGGCTCGGAGACACCAGCAATACCACACGGCCGGCGAGTACGTGTCTGCATTGCTGACCTTAGCTACTGGCTGATGCAGTTTGATACCAATGCACCGACGCTCAAGGTGCTCAACGACCGCTTCCGCCAGGACCCACGCGTGGTGAAGTGGAACACCCTCAAGCTCGGCGAGAAGCTCCACGAGCTGGTGCCGCCCGGTGCGAACGGCGGTACGACGCCGTCGCAGGCCACGATGGGTGGCAAGTCGGTGGACTACTTGGGGTAACTTGCTTTTGTATCTACACATTACACCTGGCCTGCGAGCACGATCTGGTCGGTGACGTACTGCGAGTCGGCACACCCCAACACCTCGTAGATCTGTGCGCTCTGTAGCCCCTTGATCCGCTCGCATTCGACCGAGGTATAGTTGGCGAGTGCGCGGCCGACCTCGACGTCTTCCAGTGCGCCCATGTCGCCTGCTGGGCGGCGCACGAGGAGGCGCACGGCCTGCAGCCGTTCCCAGTTGCCCTGGACGCCAACGACGCCGGCCGGGAGCAGCCGCCCACCCGAGTCGCGGCTGCTAATCCGGTCGTACGCGCCCTGGTCAATGATGAGCGAGCCGACCGGGTGCATCGCGTGCAGGATGCGCCATTTGCGTGCGGGCAGCCGTGACCGACTCGGAAGGAACATGGTGTGTGCGGGTTCGTCGGGCGTCGAAGCGTGTGCGCCGTCGTTCACCGACTTGGGCACGCCACGCTGGACGATGCGCAGGATATTTTCGGGGTGTTCGCCATTGAGGATCACGGTCGCGACACCGGCAGCGGTCGCAAGTTCGGCGGCGATGAGCTTGGTCTGCATGCCGCCCGTGCCGAAGGAAGAGCCAAGCGTCTTGACACTCGCTGCGCGGCGAGCCTCATCGACACTACTCACAATGCTCAGGCGGCGTGCGTCAGGGCACGTCCGCGGGTTGTCCGTGTACAGACCGTCGACGTCCGTGCACAGGAAGAGGAAGTCGGCATCGACGAGGCCCGCGGTGATGGCCGAGAGCGAATCGTTGTCGCCGAAGCGCATCTCGTACACGGACACGGTATCGTTCTCGTTGACGATTGGCACGGCATCGATCGTGCTGGACATGAGTGTCTCGAGGGTGGTGCGTGCGTTGTGGTAGCGGTTGCTGTCGGCGAGGTCGGTGCGTGTGACGAGCACCTGTGCGACGTTGATGCCCACGACGCCAAACAGATTGTCCCAAAGCGACATGAGGCGCA